GGGGGGAAAGTTAACTAGAACTCAATCCTTCTCCCATGGTACAATGATATCAGAGAAGTCATAGTAGAGAGAGATCATATAAATGTAATGGATGTAGAGATGTCTGGACAGAGCTCAACCCTTTTAACTATGAGCAAAATCACTCAGGAGACAAATCTCTCTTTTTTAATTAGTCTGCTACAACCACATATTTTTAAAAGATTTTTTTGTTTTTATTGATCTCAGAGAGGAAGGGAAAAGGATAGAGAGATAGAAACATCAATGATCAGAGAGAATCATTGATTGGCTGCCTCCTGCACCCCCCACACTGGGGATCGAGCCCGCAACCCGGGCATATGCCCTTGGCCAGAATCGAACCTGGGGCCCTTTAATCCACAGGCCAGCGCTCTATCCACTAAGCCAAACCAGCTAGGGCAGGAGACAAATCTCTTAAAAAATGTTTTTTATTAATTTTAGAAAGAAAGGGAGAGGGCGTCAAGAGATAGAAACACACAGAGAGAAACATGGATTTGCTGCCTCCCACGCTTCCCCCACTGGAGATCAAGCCCGCAACCCTGGTATGTGCTCTGACCGGGAATCGAACTGGTGCATGGGACAACGCTCAACCCACTGAACCACACCAGCTGGGCCAGGAGACAAATATTACCGATATGTGGAGTGTGGGGTAGCCTTGGAGAAAGTTTGCCTTTTGGTATGTTTCAGAACTCACATAGGAGAAAAACCCTACCAACGTACAGGCACAAATCACCCCTCTCTCAGTAGGAGAGAATTGACACTTATAAGAAACTATATTTGCAGTGAATTCAGGAAGTTATTTTTCAGGAGAGACTGCTTCATACCTAAGGATCTATCAAGGAGAGAACCCTACCATGTGAGCCTTCAGGGAGAGGTCTCAGCCTTTTCGCCTTCCTTACTCCACATCACAGAACGTGCACTGGAGAGAAACATGGGTGTGGTCATCGTGGGAAAGGCATCGAACACAGCTCAGCACTTGTGATGTGACGTCTCAGTCCGCAGTCCGATGCTCTACCCACTGAGCCAAACCAGTTAGGGCTGGTTTACATTTTTAAAAAATATTTTTTTATTGGTTTCAGAGAGGGAGAGATAGAAACATCAACAATAAGAGAATCATTGATGGGCTGCCTCCTGCATGCCCCCCACTGGAGAGCAAGCCAGTAACCCAGGCATGTGCCCTGACTGGGAATCGAACCGTGACCTCCTGGTTCATAGGTTGAAGGGTTGCTGGTTCAATTCCCGGTCAAGGGCTCTTATCTGGGTTGTAGGCTCGATCCCTGACAAAGTTGGCTCAATGCAGGAGCTGCCCCCTGGTGGTCTATGCACTCCCATAGCCAACCTCCTGTGGCCCCTTCCCCCAGCCTACCAACCTCCCACGGCCCCTCCCCTCGCCTGGCCGGCCCCCTGACTAGCTGGCTAACCTCCCATGGTCCCTCCCCTCTGCTGGCCAGCCCCAATAGGCCCCGAACAACAAAAACAGAGTTAACCAAAAAGCAGTACATTTCTCTTAGAACCATATGCTGTCCTGGAAATAGATTCCCAAGCGATGAACTATATCCTTCCACATTTGGCAGAGACCAGGAATGTGAGGCCCACTTAGAGCAGCAGCAGCAGCAGCAGAACCAGGAGAGATGGTGGAATATATGGCCCTTGAGGAAATAGTGATTCAGGACAGAGGCAGCAAGAATAATGATTTTGGCCCTAACCGGTTTGGCTCAGTGGATAAAGCGTCGGACTGCGGACTGAAAAGTCCCAGGTTCGATTCCGGTCAAGGGCATGTGCCTTGGTTGCGGGCACATCCCCAGTAGGAGGTGTGCAGGAGGCAGCTGATCAATGTTTCTCTCTCATTGATGTTTCTAACTCTCTATTCCTCTCCCTTTGTCTCTGTAAAAAAATCAATAAAATGTATTTTTTTTAAAAGAATAATGATTTGGGGGGGAAAGTTAACTAGAACTCAATCCTTCTCCCATGGTACAATGATATCAGAGAAGTCATAGTAGAGAGAGATCATATAAATGTAATGGATGTAGAGATGTCTGGACAGAGCTCAACCCTTTTAACTATGAGCAAAATCACTCAGGAGACAAATCTCTCTTTTTTAATTAGTCTGCTACAACCACATATTTTTAAAAGATTTTTTTGTTTTTATTGATCTCAGAGAGGAAGGGAAAAGGATAGAGAGATAGAAACATCAATGATCAGAGAGAATCATTGATTGGCTGCCTCCTGCACCCCCCACACTGGGGATCGAGCCCGCAACCCGGGCATATGCCCTTGGCCAGAATCGAACCTGGGGCCCTTTAATCCACAGGCCAGCGCTCTATCCACTAAGCCAAACCAGCTAGGGCAGGAGACAAATCTCTTAAAAAATGTTTTTTATTAATTTTAGAAAGAAAGGGAGAGGGCGTCAAGAGATAGAAACACACAGAGAGAAACATGGATTTGCTGCCTCCCACGCTTCCCCCACTGGAGATCAAGCCCGCAACCCTGGTATGTGCTCTGACCGGGAATCGAACTGGTGCATGGGACAACGCTCAACCCACTGAACCACACCAGCTGGGCCAGGAGACAAATATTACCGATATGTGGAGTGTGGGGTAGCCTTGGAGAAAGTTTGCCTTTTGGTATGTTTCAGAACTCACATAGGAGAAAAACCCTACCAACGTACAGGCACAAATCACCCCTCTCTCAGTAGGAGAGAATTGACACTTATAAGAAACTATATTTGCAGTGAATTCAGGAAGTTATTTTTCAGGAGAGACTGCTTCATACCTAAGGATCTATCAAGGAGAGAACCCTACCATGTGAGCCTTCAGGGAGAGGTCTCAGCCTTTTCGCCTTCCTTACTCCACATCACAGAACGTGCACTGGAGAGAAACATGGGTGTGGTCATCGTGGGAAAGGCATCGAACACAGCTCAGCACTTGTGATGTGACGTCAGAGAACTCATACTGGGAGGAGCCCTATACGTGGAGTTGGTGTGGAAGAACTTCAGGGGGTGTCCTCGCTTTTTTCAACACAAGGACTCATACTAGAGAACGGGACGCAGAGGGTCAATGTGGCAGGTTTTGAAGGATGACTGTCACCTTATTTGACACCAGGAAGCTCATAGAGAGTAGAGAAACTCATCTATATATATAAAAGCTTAAGCGACCATTACGACCAGAACGACCGGTCGACCAGTCGCTATGACGTGCACTGACCACCAAGGGGCAGACGCTCAATGCAGGAGCTGCCCCCTGGTGGTCTATGCACTCCCATAGCCAACCTCCTGTGGCCCCTTCCCCCAGCCTACCAACCTCCCACGGCCCCTCCCCTCGCCTGGCCGGCCCCCTGACTAGCTGGCTAACCTCCCATGGTCCCTCCCCTCTGCTGGCCAGCCCCAATAGGCCCCGATTGGGGGGCTGGCCAGTTAACCTCCTGAGGTCCCTCCCCCCGGCCATCCTGTCCCCCAATAGGCCTTGATTGCCAGTCAGGCCAAGGGACCCCACCTGTGCACTAATTCGTGCACCGGGCCTCTAGCTGGATATAATATAACAAAGTTGTGGCTGTGGCTCCCTGCAATCACGGATGAGCAGGTATGAACAGTTATGCTCTACATATGCCCTTAATTCG